TAAAAAATAAATATGTTAAATAACATCCTAAAAAGCAAAACTAGATAACTAAATTTAAATGCCCCAAATAAGAAACTAGATCTATTAAAATTGAATAAAATGAGTAATATTTTCTATAATTACTTTTTTTATCCCAAAATAACTGTCATTTTTTAACTTTAAATTGTTTTAAATTAATTGTCATTTTTTCATTTTTTAAGATAGATATATATTTTTTTTCTCCTATTTTTATTCTATTGATGCACTTTAATTAATTATCCAATTATAAAAAGTTTTTCTTTACCTCTTATAGAACATTTCATTCTTATGAGTATTATAAATAAATATAATTATTGTCTTTAAATTTTTAATTTGAAAAAAAAATTACAATTATTTTGAGATAGAGAGAATATCTTCTAAAAATAAGAACAATATAAAAATAAACACCTTAAACAACATTAAAAAACAATGATAAATAATTCAATTTGAATGTCTCAAATTAAAAATTATGTTCAGTAAAGTAAATTAGAAATTAGGGATAGTGTAATATGGGTTTCGTTTTTAGCTAACATTTTCATATTTTTTTTTTTTTATATTTGTTTAAAACATCCCACCAAAACCCAAATCCAAAGCTGGGTGGCCTTGTTATTAAAATTTCAAAGCTTATATTTTTAATTAAAATTTTGTTTTAAAGATGATAGCTTGCTTAGTGAAAGTAAAACACTTAAATTTTTAATTAAGAAAATTTTAAAAGATTGTACATTACTTGTAGGAAATTTCTTTTGGAACACACGGAATTTTGGAACAAATGGAATGTATGAAGGTGTAAAATCCCAATCCTGATTTCCATTTTTCTCTTTTAGTAAGAACATCACATACTGCCAAAAAATCATTAAGCTACCCTAAATTGTAAATTGGAAAAGGATTAAAATACAATTTTTTATATAATATTACATAATATTATTTAATCATTGACTAACTTTAATTTAATAATACTCAAAATGTTAAATTTATTTATTTATTTAATAATATGTAAAAATTATTAACAGGTGCAATTCTACCAAAACTATTGAAAAATCTCAGACCTCTAACATCAGTGATGATGAGAATGCTCAATGCCATTTTCTTCAAATTCTCTTCCTCA